GGGAGGGCCCTGCAGCTGGGCCTGGCGGGGAGCAGCTCCCTGGGGGGTGGGGGGTGGGGCTCCAGGCACAGGACGCACTCCGAGAGAGCCTCTGGTTGTGCTTCCCAGTTGAAGTGAGCAGGGCGGGACTGGACTCGCACGGTGCCTGCTGGGAGTCGGCTCTGCCGGGCGTTGGCGTGCAGGTGACTTGCCATCTTGCCCTGGGGCCAGGACAGGCCGAGACCCTGCCCTAGGCCTGGCCAGCTGCGATTGCACCCCAGGGGCTGACTCCAGGCCCCCAGCGCTTCCTCTTGCAGATGGGCGCTTGTGACAGATGCATACGCTGCGCGTCCCCGGAGGCTGGTACAAACTGGAGCCCCACAACTCCCAGGGACCGTGCCGGGCACTTGTGCAGGTGCATGGGCGGGGCCTGGGCCGGCCGTCTGCGTGGGTGCCGGCGGGGTCCTGCGCCTGCCTCGCTGAGCCGGGCCACTAATGGGACTCCTGGAGCCTTTTGGGTGTTGGTGGCAGCAGTGGCGGCTCATTTGTGGGGAATGAATTATTTATGACTGTTTGCAGATGCTTATTCCTTCATCACAGGCCCCCGCGTGTTCTGGGCGCCTGATGAAGTGGCTTCAGCAGGCGCGTGTGGCTGCACCCCCTGCCGTCCTGGACGCCTGTGTCCAGGCTGCTGACGTGCAGGCTGCATTTGGGGGGTGGTTCCACGCTGCCCACACGGGTCCCTCCCACTCCCTGCCCCAGAGCACCCGCAGGCTGGGTTTGAGGCTGGGTTTGAGGGTCCTCTGACACTGATCTCAGTCCCACGGTGGGCTCAGTCAGCCTCAGCCCTGCCCCGAGGTCTCCGTGCACCTGCCGCCATCTGTCCTGCCCGGGCTCCCAAGCTGATGCCCAGGTCCGTCGCTCAGGAGCCCACCAGGGCCCCCTAATGCTGAGCACGCCCTGTGAGCCACCCGGCCCTCGCCTCCCAGCATGCCTTGCACCGGCTCCCTACTTGGAGCCGCGCGCCCACTGGTTCATTCATTTAACAGAACTGGCCCTGCTGCAGCTGCCATGCAGGCCCTTAGCGATGGGGGAGCCAGGCCCCGCCTCTGATTGCAGCCGACAGGTGCCAGGCAGGCCGCAGCAGGGCCCCCGGGCTCCGGGACCTGGGTGAGGCAGGGTCTTTCACCCCGTGGGGTGATGGGGCCCTCCAAGGCCAAGCCAGGGGTCTGGGCCCCGAGGCTGTAATTGGAGTGAGGGGGACACCTGGAGCCCCTCTGCCCGCCCACTGCCCTCCCTCCGTCGGGAGCAGCCTGTGCAGCTCTGTGGTGTTGGCTTAACTGTGGAACCACAGGGTGGGCCACGATGAGTGGTTTCCCTTCCGTCTCCTGGTCTCCTGCTTCCTCCCTCCCAGCCAAGCCCTTTCCGGTCCCGAGAGCAGAGGTGGAGTCCCGCGGGGCCTGCGGAGCGGCCAGCAGGGGTGGAGTCCCGCGCACGCACGCAGAGGGCCCTGTGGGAGTGGCCGGCGCCCGCCTGCCTCTCTTCCCTGCCCTCCTGGGACCCTCGGGCGCCCCGCCTCCCCCCGCCTTCCCCCTCCTCCCCGCACTGGGGGTCTCTGAGGTCCGCTCAGCTGCAGAGGTGGCCGAGACAGAGCCCCGACAGGCTGGGCAGGGTTGGGATGGCCGTGCCCAGCACTGTTGCCCCCGGCTGCCTCCTTGTTCTGAGGTTGGCAAAGCCTCAACTGCTCTTCCTCTCTCCCTCCTGGTCCCTCCGGGCCACACGAGAGCACCAGAGCCGGCTCTTGACGCCCCCGGGGCTGGGGTTGGTGCCTTGGGGAGCTGTCGGGGGGGCGGTGGTGCCCAGGACTCGGGGGTTCCAGGCAGTCTGTTCATGGGCAGCAAACCGTTTGGTTTCCTTCCTGCCCGCGGGGGTCGTGCGTGAGCAAGCAGGAGCCTCAGCACCTTCAGCAGAGACCTGTGCCCCCCGCCCCTCCCCCAGGGCCCAGGGGTCCCCTCCTCCCTTTCTCGGGTGCCTGGCGTCTCGTAGAGGAGGTGCTTAGAGTAAAACGTGAAGCCCTCGGCCTGCCTGTGTCTTGGGGTCGGGGCCTGTGTGCCCTGTGCACGGGACTGCCCCGAGGGTTTGCGTCCAGGCCCCCGCATCGTCTTGGCCTCAGCGTGCCCCCCTCAGATGCGTGTGTTGACACCGAACTCCTGGCAGGGTGGTCTCGGGGACTGTGGGCGTGGGGTTAGTGTGTTTGTGAGCTGCGGCATACAAACGTAGACCTTGACGCTGCGTTTGCCAGATTTGTCTGTGTCGGGGTCAGTGACGTTCATTCTCATTGCTCTATGGGAATCCATGGGTCCCCGTCTCGCGTAGATGCACACCGGGGCAGTGACCAGGGTGCAGCGCTGCGGCGTGCTGGCTGCTGGACATACGTCCGTGTTTCTGTTGGGGTACGCCAGGAGCTGCGTCCCCGGTTCAGGTGTGCAGTCACCGGTGGAGAAGTGGCCATACACGTAGCTTCCTGTGTGCCAAGAGCTCAATGCCCTGGTGGAAGCAGAAGACAGCCCACCCCGCGGACATCCGGGTCCCTGGCGCAGGGCCACACGCGGCTCAGGCTCACGCTCGCTGTTTCTTGGTGCCCTTTCCAGCCCTGCCTGCCGTGTGGCACCTGTGGTGTGTGTCCCAGCCGGACTCCTGGCCTTCCCTCCCGGAGCCCTGTGCCGGTTGGAGGTTGGCAGCCGGCTCTGTGCCCCTGCAGGAGGCAGGCTGCCCTGAACCCAGCTTCCTGCGCTGAGCAGTGGGCGAAATCTCCTGTAGGGAGGCAGGCCCTTGTGGGAAGTGAGTGTGCCAGCCCGTTACCCGGGGCCCGTGCTAGAATCCGCCACGCGTAAACCACCGTCACCTCGGAAATCGTGTTAATCCCCAAACCGTCTCTGACCTCAGACCTCATTAAATTTTTTCCTCCCTAAGGGACTTTGCTTCCTGATTAAATTGGACTTCAGACTATATTAGAATAATTTGTCATCTCTGAGCACATGCTGCCCTGGTGTGGACCGACAGTAGAGGCCGTTATGCGGTTCCCGTGGTCTCGGCGCTGGCGGGGGGGGATTGTGCCGGGGCCGCCGAGGGGAGACACGGCTCTGCCTACGCTGCCACCTGCCGTGTTCCCCCTCCCCGCCCCTGCTGAGCTGAGAGCTCCCACAGGGGCGTCCCCTTGGGAGCACGCGTAAGTCCTCTGCAGTGCTGGCATCCCACATGGGCGCCGGTTCGAGTCCCAGCTGCTCCACTTCCGATCCAGCAGCTTATTAACCCGCTGCACCCCGGCCCGTGGCCGTTCAGTCGTCTCAGCATCTCCTTCCCTTGGGGAGGGGGAGGTCTTGGCTCCCTGTGGGAAGGCACTTACCCGGGCTGGTGTTGTGGCGTAGTGGGTAAAGCCACCGTCTGCAGTGCCGGCATCCCATATGGGTGCCGGTTCGAATCCTGGCTGCTCCACTTGCAACCCAGCTCTCTGCTATGGCCTGGGACAGCAGTAGAAGATGTTCCAAGTCCTTGGGCCCCTGCACCCACGTGGGAGACCCAGAGGAGGCTCCTGGCTCTGGCTTCAGATCGGCGCACCTCCGGCTGTTGTGGCCAGTTGGGGAGTGAACCAGCGGATGGGATGGAAGATCTCTCTCTCTTTCTGCCTCTCCTTCTCTCTCTCTCTCTCTAACTCTGGTTTTCAAATAAATAAATAAATCTTCTTAAAAAAAAAAAAAAAAGCCCTTAACCAGCGATGTGTGGCTTCGTCACCCTCGGGCTTTCAGTCCCGTTTTTCTGTGACGTGTGTCTCTCCCCGCCGGTTCCAGCAGGCTCCGTGGGCGGTCCTCTGTGGTGGGTTCAGAACTGGGAAGTGTGGCCCCTCCCTCCTTTCCTCCGGGATCGTTTGAGTGTGCTGGGTCCTTCATGTTTCCCTGTGAATTTTGAAGTCAGCTTTTCAGTTTCTACAAGGAAGTAAGCTGGGTTTCTCTTGGGGCTGGCTGTGAACCTGCAGGTCACTTTGGGGGATAGTTAACAACTGTAAATCTTCCAGTTAGTCAACATCAGACTTTTTTCTGATTTTTTTTTAAATTTTCCTTCATTTTTTTCAAATGAAGTCCTGATGGCCACTTGGAAGGTGCTTGACCTTGAGCGAGTACTTTGCTGCTCGGTACCTCAGTTTTCCTGTCTGTAAATTGGGGGTGTTCATTACGCTTACTCCCTACCACCCTTGCAAGGATTCCAGCGCATCAGGCAAATACAGAGAAAGCTTATGCACGGGTGTGAGCTGTGATGTTATCACACCGTGCCCAGGGAGCGAGGGGTCCCCAGTCTGTGTCTGGGGTTGGACAGAGAAGGAGAGTTAGCCCACCGGAGTTAGCCCAATGCTGGGTGTCTAGAGTGCTGTGGCACAGCTGTAGAAGGTGGGGGTTGGGGAAGGTGGTTGGGCACCCAGGAAGCTGACTGTGCAGATGCCCCGGTGCCCTGGGGCTGCTCCTACCGGGCCCTGGCCCAGGGAGGCACCGTCAGGGCAGCTGGGCCTCAAGGAGGAAGCCGGGGTGACGAGGGCCATCTGCTGGTGCCAGCCCAGACACAAGGGAGCCGCAGGGCTGAGGACCTGGAGGGGCTGCCCGTGGGATTGGGCACTGTCGAGAGCTGGCCCCAGCCTGGCCTGGGTATGCTGGGTTCCCCTGAACTGGGGACACCGTGCAGAATGCCAAGGGCCAGGCGTGGACACGACTTCGTCTGCAGAGGTCCAGGGCACTCAGCCAGAGGGTGACGCTGGGACACGTGACCCCTGACCCCACACTGGCAGACCACAGAGCCACAGCCATGATCAGCACCGCGCCGGCTTTGTGATAGCCGTGACCCGCCGAGGGGTGGCCTGAACCTCTCAAAAGCTGGGGTCCCCCTGATGGGCACATGGGGGGCAACCAGACAGCAGGCGGTGGGCTCCAGGCGGCGTGTCAGGTCCCGTGTGACCTGTTTGTCTTCTCTTCCAGGGGCATGGTCTAGTGGCCCAGCCAAGGACGCGGAAGCAGCCCCCGGAGGTCCCGCCCCCTGCTCCATCTCAGCCTCCGCTTGGCCTCAGGTGAGTCCTGCGCAGGTGGGGCTGCGTGGGAAGTGGGGGTGGGAGCCGCCTGCTGCTCCCCAGCCCGGGTCCCAGGGTCACTGGCCCTTGTTGCCAGGTGCTCGTGTCTGGGGGCTGTAAGTGCCAAGAATGAACCCCCAGGACGCACGAGAGGAGGACGGAGGGGACATCTTGGCCTCGATGCTGCTTGTGGCTTCTGTACCCAGATCCGGAAGCTGGCTTCTCCCAGGCCCGCGGCCCCTCCCCAGCAGGTGCCATCCCACAGCCGTGGACCCCCTCCCCCAGCAGGGGCTGTGCCAGGGCCATGGACCCCTACCCCAGCAGGGGCTGTGCCAGGGCCATGGACCCCTACCCCAGCAGGGGCCGTGCCAGGGCCGTGGACCCCTCCCCTCCCCCAGCAGGGGCTGTGCCAGGCCCATGGACCCCTACCCCAGCAGGCGCCGTCCCACGGCCGTGGACCCCATACCCCAGCAGGGGCTGTGCCAGGCCCGTGGACCCCTCCCCCACCAGGCGCCGTCCCACGGCCGTGGACCCCATACCCCAGCAGGGGCCATGCCAGGGCCATGGACCCCCCTCCCTCAGCAGGCGCCGTGCCAGGCCCATGGACCCCTCCCCCAGCAGGCGCCGTGCCAGGCCCGTGGACCCCTCCCCCAGCAGGTGCCGTCCCACGGCCATGGACCCCTCCCCCAACAGGCGCTGTGCCAGGCCCGTGGACCCCTCCCCCAGCAGGCGCTGTGCCAGGGCCATGGACCCCCTACCCCAGCAGGCGCCGTGCCAGGGCCATGGACCCCCCTCCCCCAGCAGGTGCCGTGCCAGGCCCGTGGACCCCTACCCCAGCAGGTGCCATCCTAGGGCCATGGACCCCATACCCCAGCAGGCGCCGTGCCAGGCCTGTGGACCCCTCCCCCAGTAGGCGCCGTCCCAGGGCCGTGGACCCCCTACCCCAGCAGGCGCCGTCCCAGGGCCGTGGACCCCTCCCCCAGCAGGCGCTGTGCCAGGGCCCTCAGCCCTCCCTGGCGCTCATCTGCTGCCTGCAGGGCGCGTGGGGCCCCTCGGCTGGGTGGACGCAGTCCCCCTCCCTCCCAGTCCTCCCATGAGTGTCCTGCAGGGCGTGGGCCCAGCAGTGGCTCCTGCTCAGCCCTGATTCCAGGGGGAAGCTGTGGCTGCCCGCAGGCGCCTCCCTGGAGCAGCTCGGCCCCCGGCCCCTGCTGCCTCCCGCTGAGCCTCCCCCCGAGACCCCTCCTTCCTGCCCTCACTTCCCTTCCCACCAGCTCAGCCTCAGCCTCTCCCCCTGCCACGCCCAGACCTCTGGCCCTCAGGGATGCCCGGCTGAACTTCCTGCCCCACAGAAGACTGGCGGCGGGAGCCCCCTGTTGCTTGTGCAGGCTCCACAGCCCCTCCCACAGTGGCTCAGGGCCTGCCAGCCCGCTGTGCACCGATGCTCTGTGCGGGGTCTAGTTCCCGGGTGAGGACCCCCGGGGCTGGCGTGGTCCCTGCGGGTCTGGCTTTGTGTCTTAGCCTCCCTTCCTTTGCTGGATGGTGGTGGCCGCCAACACGCCTTCCGGGGAGGATGGGACAGCAGTCCTTGAAGTGAGTGTCAGGGCCAGGCAGGGCCGTGTCCGCCTGGGTGCTGCCCTCGGGCGACTGTTTGGGTGGCTCATTACTGTTCACTGCCCCCCTGCCCCACCTCTGCTGACCCTGGGTGCTGGGACCTCACTGAGACAGGTGGCCCATCAGGTCCATTGTCAAAGGCAAGAGGAGGAGGCAGCAGTGAGGGAGGACTTGAAGGGGGGTGGGGATGACCTGCAAGCCTCGCCCAGCCCCCAGGACCCTCATCACCGACTGCGTCAATGGAGTCTGGGAGAAGCCATTGTCCAAGACCTGTAGGAGGTACGGGGGAGCAGCCTGTGCAAAGGGCCTGTGGTGTGTGTGAGGGGCAGCCAGAGGGATGAGAACCGAGGCCAGCACTCGCAGCACTGACCAGCGAGGAGCAGGTGCGGGCAGAGTCTCGGAGCCACCAAAGCACACCACACCACAGACCCGTGGGGTCCTTTAAGAGTGAGCCCTCCACACAGGACCAAACCTTTGTTTAGATCCGTCTGGCAACCATTCTCTTGTAGGCTGCCAGACCAGGAGGAGTCAGAGGTGTGGGGCCGTGCATGAGCAGGATCTGGGGGGTCTCCTGCTGGAGGTGACTGGTTGACCAGTTGACCCGTCTGCAGGCCCCAGGTGGGCATCTCCTAGCACAGCCTGTGGGGGCACACGGTGGGCCTGGCGCAGGCGCCCTCCTGTGTGGTACATTGAGGGCTATTTTTAGGGCGACTTGGATGACTTTGCATTATGACTTCCTGTGGGCGTCGCCTGTGGCCTCAACCCTCACGAGCGTTGTGGACAGTGTGCACACGCTTGAGCCTGCGCCATGTGCATGCGTACCTGCGTGTGCACACACACCATCTGGTGGGCAAGCACGACTTGGCTCGCCTATCTTGCCAGCCGTGGACTCGGTGGAGGGACAGGTGTCGCCTCCCCAGCCTCTGCCCCAGGTCAGGACCCGTGCGAGGTGCCGAATCAGAGTCCCGTGCTCCCCCCCGTGCAGGGGACGTAAAAGGTGGTGCCTCATTCGCTCCCCACCCTGAGCCAGGTGTGAGCCCTCTGCTCTGGCCCAGACACGGCACCAGTCTCCCCATGCCGATCCTTCTTCTCCCTCCCCAAGGCTTGTCCAGCTGGCCCAGGCCAGCAGCCTGGGGGCCAACTCGGATGTTGCGTCTGTTCTCCCGTGCCCCCTTGAGTAGTCCTGGACTTGTCCGACCCCTGTGCCAGTTTTGGGGCTCTTTCTTCAAAACCCACAAGGAGGGCTCACTGGGCTGTGCTCAGGGGCCACAGAGCTGCCCTGTGGCCCCCAGATCCGCGTGTGTATGGGAGCTTCCTGGAAGGCGCGCCCACGAAGGGGGGGCGGCCCTCCTCCCTCCCTCCCTCCCTCCCTCCTTCTCTGGCTTCCTTCCTTGCTCCCATCAAACAATTGCTGTGTCTTCCTGTGTTCCAGGCATGTGCTAATTGGTCACGGGGCTGTTCCCAGCCGCACCCTGGGTAAACGGAGCCCCGCCCCATGTCCTCGGGGAAAGGGTCGGCAAAGGACGCGGCCCAGCCTGGAAGCTCCAGGACAGGAGTCCGTGGGCCCGGCAGAGGGCTGCTGCCTCCCGTCTTGCCCCCTGCCCCAGCACCCAAGCTCCGTGCCTGGCAGGGGGAGGGGGCAGCCAGTCGGTGTTGGGGGAGGAAGGAGGGAATCCGTGCCAACCCCAGCCACGTGGAGGGCGTCTTCCTTCCAGGAACCCTGGGGCTGCCCGGGCTTCCGCTTAGTAGGTGCTCAGCGAACACGCGTGGGTGACCCCTTCGGTGTGTGGGTGGTCACTGCCCACAGCCCTGCAGGATCCGGTGCGGTGGGGTAGGCGTGACCGGTCCGCGGTAAACACAGGCTCTGCCCAGGGACGGCCCGCCCCTCGCCGCTCCGCCTGGCATTTCAGCCCGCTGATGTCACTGGCTGGGAATGACTTACTGTTTGTATTTCTTTCCAGAGACGTTAAGCATGAATCAAACAGCATACGAGATGATTCCTGGTTTTCTCCTGAGTTTAAAAAAATATATATTAGGCAAGAGTTCTGGGAGCCGTGTGCTGGGCTGTAAGGGGACACCAGGCAGTCTGTGAGCGTGGCCGTGGGCAGTGCATCCCAGGGTGGACGTGGCCCTCTGGCCAGGCTGCTACGCACAGCTTCTGCTCACAGCCGCTCATCAGAGCGTGCTCCACCTCGTTCATTTAGGGACCGTGGGTTGGAGAATCAGAACTGGTTTGCTTGAAGCAGTTGCGGGCAGAGTTGCAGCTTCTGTGGTCTCCTGGGACAGAGCTGAGCGGGAGGATGCGCCCCACGCGTGGACCCCTCGCTGCCGGTCAGGGAGCGGAGCCCTTGGGTGCCTGGGCAGCCCCTGCTGGGGATGACCGTGGGCGCCTCCCTTCATGCCGGGGCCTGGTGCATGGGGATCTGGGCCAGCCTAGCGGAGAGCGGTGCAGTGCATGGGAAATGCGACCTGTATTGTTCTCCCTAAAAATGGGACATTCCTGGGAGTGAAATCCTAGTCGTTCCAGCCTGCTGTATGGGGAAGGCGCCCCTCAGGGCAGCCTGGTCCTGACCGGGCGCCCGCCCGCGGGGAGCAGAACAAGGGCTGCACACTGGTGGGGGGCAGCCTGTGTGTGCATGTGTATGTCATAGGGTGTGTGTATGTGGTGTTGAGTGTGTGTGTGTGTACTGGCAGGTGTGTGTGTGTGTGCGCACTGGCTGGTGGGTGTGTTCATGCTGATGTGCACGGGGTGTGTGTGTATATGTGTACTGGCTGGTACGTGGGGGGTACTGGCTGGTGAGTGTGTGTGCGCGTGCGTACTGGCTGGTGGGTGTGTTCATGTTGATATGCATGGTGTATGTGTGTGTATACGTGTACTGGCTGGTACGTGGGGGGTACTGGCTGGTGAGTGTGTGTGCGTGTGCACTGGCTGGTGGGTGTGTTCATGCTGATGTGTATGGTGTATGTGTGTGTATACGTGTACAGGCTGGTGTGGGGGGGGTACTGGCTGGTGAGTGTGTGTGCACGTGCGTACTGGCTGGTGGGTGTGTTCATGCTGATGTGTACGGTGTGTGTGTGTATGTGTGTGTATATGTGTACTGGCTGGTATGTGGGGGGTACTGGCAGGTGTGTGTGTGTGTGCACTGGCTGGTGGGTGTGTTCATGCTGATGTGCACGGTGTGTGTGTGCACATAACAAGCCCTACCAGAGCAGCCTCAGGGTGCACGGAGCTGACCTCCCAGCTCTTCGCAGGGCGTGGGGCCCCCGGGAGAGCCCACCGTGCCTCCAGCAGCCGCTGCGCTCGCTGACCCTCTCGAAACGAGCCAACATCCCCTTCCCGTGGTCCACAGGCTGGCCAGGGGCACCTGGCACGGGGGTGGGACCTCCGG